ACGTGTCCCACTTTATTGAGGTAGCAATTCTGCAACTCAAGTCACCGGGAGAGGCTCTGAAACCTCACCCCAAGCTCATGTCCTGCGACTGCAGTGGGTACACCATGAACCTGCTACCACAGAAAAGCCCCCCAACATCACCCAGCATGGGGCAGGCACCCGCACGCCCACAGGAATGTGATCGAGCATGGGAGGGAGCGGGATTATTTACATGTGGTCATTGTCCTCCTCATACATCACACACCAGGCAACGTGACCGAGTGAAATGAAATGGTGATGTCGTTCATTTGCGCGGGGAAGATGGATGCATTCCCTCCATGCCTCCGAATATTCCGCCGGTTCTGGACCAAACGGGGGTGATTGACATGCGCAGTACAGATCAGCGTGTAGGAAATGAGACCCAGGAACCAACCAAATGCCACCATCATGATGTGAACGTGTTTTCCTCATTGGCTAGTTAACATCATAGGCCAACTTGGATTTTCTACCTGGAGATGGTAACGCCAGATTTAATTTATTCCCACAAATCCCAAACTCATGAAGAAAAGATTTCACAATCTGTAACATTACCAGAGGGACCATAATTCATAGATAAAGGGTCCGAGCTTTGTAACAGATGGGTTTTCAAAAGTGGTTGGGAAAAACCTAAGATCCAGCCCCAGCAGTTCAACCGAGAAGTTTGAAATACACAGAACTCAGGTCAGGCACGTTATGGATGGCGCTGGTCCCTGTCCCCACAAGCCCACCCCAGCAATTAACAGGCTTGGCGGGGCTGCCAGGAGCCAAACGAAGATTGATCTTTCTGTTCCGACGCGTAAAAGCGGTGCCCTCCATTGTGAGTGCCAGTCTTAATCCACGTGGGAGGGGCCGCTGCTTCAAAGCGGACATGTGATTAAGCCACACTTCTGACACTGCAATTCTTTTCACATTAATTCTCAGCCACGTGGGAAGCCTCTCTTTCCCCCGATCCAAACCTGTGGCATGGGCTATTTCTGTACGCTGGTAAGGCAAGTTCATAAGACAGAGCGTGAACAGGAAGCCCAGCTGTGCCAGGGATGTCCCCGACTCCCATTTCACAGATGGACACACTCAGGCTGCAGGCAAAGCAAAGGGTCCAAGTTCCCCACAGAGGCAGCCACCCTGCTGGGAGCCAAACCCAGGTCTCCTAAGCACCTTAACATACATCTGTCTTGATATGTCACACACAGGATACACATGTGTGTACGTCCTGGAAAAAAGTGGCTCTTTAAAATCTAAAGACACATACAGGAATACTTAAATGAGGCCCTCGATAAGCATTATTTTCCAGCCTCCAGGAGAGGAGGTGTAAGTCACGGGCACAAGACTCCCCACAGGCAGAGTGCAGAAAGTGTGGCACTCAGCACAGGGGAGCGGCTGGGAAGGGGCCGCTGGGTTGGTCCCACTGCCCAGGACTGCAGAGACCAAGCTTGGCGACTGTTAGTATAAATAAGACCAGGCCACTCTGTTTAAAACCCACCACTGGCTTCCTTCGTCCGGTCCCCAAACAGCCTCTCCTGCCCTCCTCCGCTGGTTCACTTCACACACTCTCCTGCAGGCACAAGTCCAGCACCTATGGCTTCCTCCGGCTCCTGGAATACTGGGTGCTTCTGCCTAACAGGCTGCTCCCTTGCAAGTTCCCCTGCTGGGCCCCCATGTCCTCCAATAGCTGGTCCTTCTCTGGCCACCCCATCTCAAGTGGCCCCTAGCCACAGGCACACCACCCTGTGCCATTTTCTTCACCACGGGCATCCTTCTAGAATGGACTGATTTTGCATGCTCGGCGCCAATGTGCCCCAAGCTTCGCTGAGTTCCATCAGAACAGGGCCTTTGCTGTCCTGTCTACTTACTCCCTTATCCTTGAGACCCAGAAAGTGCCTGTTGCATAGTTACCGGTTGTAAAATACCCACGTGCTCTACGTTCCAGAGGTATCAAAAGTTGCTTGAGCGGGAAGAAAAACCTCTCCAATAGCAAGAGCCCCGCTTGAGCTGGGAACGGAGGAGGGGGAAGGGCTGTGTCTCTCCGGGCTCCGAGTCTGTGAGGGACTTCAGTGCACAGCGCAGAGCAGAGAACTAACGCAATGGTGAAATCTTTGTGCTGTGCCCGCTTACGCTTTCAAACACCCTGCTGAGTGGCATCGCTTGATTTCCAGGCCGCTTGCTCAGTTTCTGTTCAATTTCAGAATCAAGGTTGAGCCCATGGAAGAGCATTTAAAAGGTGCTTCAGTGACTTCAAATGAGGCGTGTGTGTGGTCCTGACTTCGTTATGAAAGGACTGGTATAAAAGTGCTCTAAAACTCGAGATTCTGGACACGTGTGCACACACGGCATTTCCCACTGCATTTGATATAGTGAAGAGCAATTCTGTGGCACTTTGGAATTTCTGAGAGCCATCTGATGGCCACAAGCACTGTGGACAACAGGGAGCGTAGGTCAAGAAAGGCTCCTTGAAAACATAGTCCTGTGGCCCTGGAACTTACACACGTGGAGGGCCCAGCTGTCGGCCCCCTGTCCTCGACAGTCCTCCTGCCCTGGGTCTAACGGCCTCAGCGAGTGGTCTTTACAGATGAAAAGAACCAAAAAGCACCCAGCACAGACACAGCAGAGAAAGGCCCAGCGGTAGCTGCTGCGCTGTCACCTGCTATAACAAGATTGATCTGCAGTGAAATAAAAGGTAATGCAATCCACAGGAAATAACCAGTTTCCTCCGAGAACGTCCGACGTCGCCAACCCGCAAGCCTGCTTCCCTCTTCTGCCTGCCAAGGTGCACAGCAGCCCAAACATGCACGGGCTCCTCTGGGCAAGGATGCCACACTCATCCCTGCAAGAAGCACACACTTGCAAAGCAGCATCTCTCCCAGCCGCCCAGGACTCCTGGGACAAGCCAGAGCAGGCGGGGCCTGGATGCCACGACGTGCTCAGGGGGCCAGAGCCTCCCGCAGTTGCCCTGTGCAGACAGGCCTCAGAGACGACCCCGTGGCGTCTGTTCATCTGAAGCCACGTGGTTTTCCGAGTGTTCACTTCTAGCACAATGCACGGCCCCCAGGTTCCAAGAGAATGGCATGGTTCGGGGACCGAGTTTCAACCACAGACAATGTGCTGGAGTGGTGGCTTCGGATTCTGTCTGCGGGACCAGAACCTTTCATCTTGGCTGGATGCGACTGTCCTGGTACATTTTTACTGCTGCAATTTACTGAGCACTAACTTCCCAGGAAGAATGGCCAGAAGCAAAGATAAGGGGGAGGAGGTGCCGGCTGGCAAGTTCTTTGCCATCATTTCAGAGAATGTCTCTCCATCCGAAATGATCCTCTGAGGCCGGTGCCATGTAAATAATTCACAAAAGCCAGCTCAGTTCTCTCCGTTTGAAATCCTGGTGATATCTTATAAGGGACCTGCCACCCACCAGCGTGCAGGGCACCGGGTAGCTGGCAGCTTCCGTCTCTGGAAGGTCTCAATAGCCAGTGATTTGCAGATGATTATAACTTTTGCTCTGCATATCACTGTTACTGACAAGCAAATGCCATCCATCAAATGACATGACGGATTTAAAAAGGAGGCAAACTTGACATAGGAGGTCTGAAGGGCCATTTTTTATGCCGGTGACAACCACCAGGAACGCGCGCGCACTCCAGAAAGACCTCCCAAACTCAAGCGTTCTGTGCCTCGGAAGGAGAAACGCCACTCAGCACTGGGTAGCACGTGCAGTCTCATCCACGGGAAAAAAAACCCAATCCCCTCCCAGACGTCCCCCGGAACCCCCAATTTGTCAAGGAACAAAGCACACTGCAGTCAGCGGCCCCGATGGCGACCCTTTCATTCCTCGGCTCCTTCTCAATTTTGCTCATCTCTTAGTCTCTAGCCAAATGGAACGTATTACTTGTAGCTTGCTGGGATTTATGAATTATTTATAAAAGTAGGTCTATGACTGCAGACTCTTAAAAGACAACGGTCCCCTCACTGTTATCCACGACTGCGCTTTCATCAGGGGAGCGGGCAGACGCTCCCCACGCCGGGCGCGCCTGTCGGGGGCGAAATGATAGCTGTGGAAATAGCATGCCTCTAAGATTATTTGGAAGCTATTTATGGAATGCCTGGATGTATTTTTAAACCCGTCTCTTATTCTGAGCCAGACTTGGATTCGAGAAAGGCGTAGCAGACTGAGCTACAAACATAATTCCCAGCTTGAATACACACAGTTGCTCCCCGCCACTTTGCCCGCGAGCTTCAGACTGTGATGAATGGAGAGAGGGTGCTTCCCTTTCATGGATGTCTAGCAGGTTCTGTAAGGCCATGCCCATGGGTCCCCCAGAGCACGGTGGCCATGCATGCCGAGAGGGGACAGAGACACGCACCAGGAGACGCGGTTGGGGGTAAGCTTTCAGGCTCCAGCTCCCCAGAACACATGACCTTGTCTGGGAAAAACAGACAAGACACTGCTCACCCCCTTGCCTGATCCTGTTTCTGTTACAGGCCCAGGTGGGGGGTTGTGGGAATACCTGGGTTGAAGGGCACAAAGCGACCAACCAGCTATGGTCTCGCCCACACCTCCAGGACAGAGACACGTTTGTCTGGCAAAGAAACGCGGGTGTGGAGCTGGCATCGGGGGCCCTGACTAAGCTCCAGCCGGCCCTGATGCAGGGGCCCTGAGGGACGGGGCTCCACCTGACCCCCTGCGGAGACACCTGCTCTTCACCCTTCTCACGAGTCCTACAGCATCCCTGCCCCCCGACAGGGGCTCAGCCATCAACCCCTCCCCATGTCCCTCACCCAGATGCCCCGTTCCCACCCTGCCCCCAAACATGGTTGAGGGGAAGAACCAGAGGCTGAGTGGCACTTCAGGTCACCTCAGGCCATTGTCCTCATGATGCCTCCTAGAGCCCCCATGACCCGTCCGGAGGGAATGAGAAGCCCAGGACGCTCTGCACACAGACTCTACACCCTTGTCCCAAAAAAGCAAAGCCAGCAGGAGCCAGTGGACTTACCTTGCTGAAACACATCTGCCAGGAGGGAGGCAAAACAGGGACAGGCCGGGGAGAGAGAGAGGAGAAAACAGGATTAGTAATAATGTCGAACGTGACGATGATGCTCCTCATAGCTAATGCGTGCTGACTGCCAAGCACTCTTCACACGGTAGTCCCTTGAACTCAGGGGCAGTGGTTAAGAGCCTGGGCTCTGGAATGAAACCGGCCAGGCTTACACCCTGGCTCGGCACCTTCTAACCCTGTGGCTGACGTTCTCTAAACCACAGAGAGATACGAGTCCTGGGGAGATGAAACAGTGCGGCCGATGTTTTACGGGGCTTACAGCACTGCCCAAGAACTAGTAGACACACAAAATGTGGCTTTATTATTAATATTATTAATACTCCCATCTTCACAACTCTGTAAAGTAGGTCGTATGATCACGCTCATTTTACAGGTAGGGAAACTGAGGCTCTGGAAGGTTGAGTAATTCATTCTAAACCACAGTAAGTAAGGGGCTCAGGAGTGAACCCAAACCCGTCAGATCCCAAAAGCCATCTTCTTACCCACTTCTGAGCCGCCTGACTGGTTTACAAGCAACAGCAAAACAACCAAGACACACAGAGGAAGCCTACAAGGGCACTAAGGTTCTGCCTTGAAACCAGATAAACAAAACATTGGTGTGAATTCTCCACATCATAACTCACAACTAATAACACAACGTCTTCATATTCAATCCTAGGTTGAAGCCTAGGTGAAAGGTGAAAAAATTTCTTTCAACAAGTATTTGCAAGGCTACTATATGCCAAGCACTGTGCCTGGCACTGGGCACATCCAGCCAACAGCATAAACCAACAAGCAGAGACTAAAACCCGCCTAAGGGGAACCACTAGCTGGTCTTCTAATGCCTTACATTTGTTTTGACTACTTCTGAGTTTTATATAAATGGACTGACACAGTGTGATTTTTTTGTCTGTGTCCTTTGTTCCACAGTGATGGTGGGTCCCATGCCTAGTACGTAGTAGACCATTCCTGCTCACTGCTGTATAGTATTCCGCTGTGTGATTACATCACTCTTTCTTTAAGCTCATGGAAGCATCTCTGTAGTATTCCAATGTTTAACAATGAACACACCTTACATTTATAATCTGAACTTTAAAATGAGTTATTTTCATCTCAAAAACTGAATAAGAACTAGATCATCAACATCTAAATTTGCTGTCAGTCATCAGGGAAAACATCAGCTCCTACAAGGTCACAAAGAGCCAAGGGCCCATGAATGGTGCGGATGAACCATGGTCTGGTGGGTTAAACAGGCCGCAAGGAGAGAACACCTGTGGGCGCAGTTTCCAGTGGGGCACAGAGGAGCCCCAGGAGGAATGTCATTCGCACGCAATACACCACCCTTTCTCTTGCACTCACGAAAGCCAGCTGGGACGTAAACAGCCCCTATTGGTACAATTATAGCACAACTTCAACTCTGCTCTAATACATGTGCTAGACATCATTCTCTAACCTCAGTAATTCATCACAAGCCATCCTGACTCTGTCCAGAGACTGAGAAGACGTGCAGCTCCCTGAGTATATCCCGGCTGAGCGCACTCGCTGCCTGGAACACAGGTCTGAACCGCCCACTCTGACCAGCCGCACACCTGCAGCCCCCGCCCCCGCCTTCGAATGTCACAGCCACTGCGGAGTTTCTCAGAGCCTATCCCCACGGAGAGGAAGCCACTGTTTCCGCCCCTGTGCTCCTGGAGTAATTTGTGCACATTGCAGTGAGAGCTCCTATTATAATTAGTTATTTATGCAGACCCTGAGCTCCTGAGGACAAGCGCTAGGTGTCTTAATCACTTCTGTGGGTCCTCCCTGCCTGGCGCCGGATGCTCTCACACAGGAGGGAAGGAAAGAGGGCTGGTCTGTCTGAACACCCACCCTGGTCCAAGCCCCTCATTTTACAGATGAGCAAACTGAGTCCCAGAGATATGAGATTCTTCCCAAGGCCACACCTGGCGTTCAAGGCTGAGCCGGGAAGACATGAGACTCATTGAACCTTAATGAAACACAAAAGCTCATCCCTGTTATTAGCAAAGTACAAATTAGAGATTTATCATTCTCCTCTAATGAATACAGACAAAAATGTCCAACCTTGAAAACATTAGTGAAATAAGATTAGTCTTTCAAATACGGATCCAGTCTCGACATCCGTCCAGAATCCTCAACCTCGTCTCGGTGGCTTTTGACGGGGAGCACGTCCTTCGAAATTCAGGACAGATTCGAATCACTGGAAAGCATCCGAGTGGGCAGGAAGAGAGGACATTCAGGCAGGGATCTGGGGACTTTATTCCTTCAAAATCCACTGTGTTTCATGCTTTAGCAGGCAACTCTACACAGAGTACTATTCAAGTCTTTGCTTCCAAAAAACGCTCCTGATTTCCATATACTGTACTTTAGATGTTTAAAAGAACTCTTTTTCAGCTTCATTTACATTTCCACCTTTTTATTCAAATGTAAATTTTAATAAACACGAGTATAAATATTGCAACAATTTTGCCCATGAGTTATCTTGTAATTTACACTCTAAATTTATGTCTTTTGTAGTCTGTGGCATAAATCATTTTGTTCTTAGCGTTATTTAGCTCTTTGCTCTGTATAATAATGGCTTGGGTACCTTCTTTAAAACTGTACTTTTCCAGACTGAGCCAGCCATCCAGGCTCAGGCTCAAGTGACCCGTGGACACAAGAACAGAAACTAAGTGAGAAGACGGTAAATTCTGGGACCTTCGGCTACATTTTACTCCCCCCCAAACTTGTGGCCTTCACACAATATTCGCCACAAAAATACTCTTACCCATCTTCTACGCTGGTGTCTCTCTCGCAAACCACAGGGGCTAGTCCTTCTAAAAATCAAACAGCCTCGAATTTGAGTGTGATGTTCTGTTTGTCTAACCAACCACTAAGAATCACTTGGGAGTCAGCCACGCTCCCGGGCTTGAGTTTCCTCGTGGCTGAGGACCACGGTGTTGGGAGGGTTCAGGTGGAGCATTTACACGAACACTTTCCAGCCGCCGCCGTGGAGAACGACTCTGAGAAGCGGGCACCGTCTTCTCTCCGTCCCTGGTCCTGGGGATTGGAAGTCACGCGAGTCCTGAGCTGGGACCTCCCACCCTAACCACAGTCAGGTTGAGCCCAGAGGACTCCAGGGACCGGGTGCAGCGGAAATGAACTCCTCAGACAAAGCGCTGCTCTTACTCACTTCCCCAGGGAGAGAACCTCAAACCCCAGTCCTTCAAGGGGAACAAAGCAAGCCTGTTCTCCACCCCACCCCCACCCCCACCCCCTGGAGCCATTCTGGTCCTATAGATAGATAAAAAGCCATGTATAAGTTGGTGACTCATATGTGGGAAGCAGAAACTAAGAAAGAAGGAACTTAGATAAGCCTCAATGTCCAGTTTCTTCAGTGACGAATGAACGTGAAGGCCGTGTGCCCTCCTCCCCCATCACTGCTGAGAGATTCACACCCCAGAGATGTTTAATGCACTGAGTTCTCCGGAGACAGGGGCCATAAAAAGACTAGATTATTTATTATTATTAATAAGTGATGGCAATGAGGCTGGGTGATTCGTAAACGTTGCTGATTAAAAACTTTCTTGAGTGCTCCTCATCCACATGGCCAGTGTTTACCTCTATTAAAAAATGATTTAACTACACTCTGGGTGAACCCCTCTCTTGCGCCCAGGTTAATAATTAGCAGCGCACACAGCCACGAGGGTTAAGTGACTTGCCTCTCCTTTATTTATCTATTGCTTTGTTTTACGAGCAGAACTGGATGGCAGTCTTATTGCCCATTCAGTCTGCTAAGAATAATTTACTATTTCAATCCACAGTCCATAACCATGGTTAGAAAAGCTCTCACTATTATTACAATATCACGCTCAGCTCATTCGCAGCATTAAAGGTACGCCAAACAGTGCAAGTGCACACGGCTGCCATAAGACCAAGGTAAGCAAAGCGACTAGTTCTCAAACAATGTAATCGTACTACTCTTTCCACTTTGCTTTCTTTTCTAGGTTAAATTATATATGAGGGGAGTTTGGTTTCTTGAAAATGCATGCACTTAACTCCCATTTAAGAAATCTCACCTGGGGAGACAGCTGTCTTGTGAGTCCTCCTGTGGTTTGAGCTACAGAAAGAAAATTCTCTTTCAAGTACAAGTGCTTTTACAGTAAAGCGCTGTAACTTTTACTGGGACCCACCTAACCGGAGACACAGGGAAAAAGGCTGGGAAGCGTAGAACGAAGACCGATTCCTAGGACGGGCTCACTTTCACCACTGGTCAACGTCAACTTCAAGATGGGTTAGGTGGCCCCTCGCCAAATTTCAAAGACCAGCAAGCCCTATACATAACCAGTAAGAGCACGAGAATCCAGCCTGTGGTTTTCGTGCCCTGCAGATCTCTGTGAATGAAGTGAATTCTCTCCTTTCCATGTTGAGAGTAGGTCCCTCCCACGCCTCCCTCTGGCTGAGGGCCAGCAGTCCCGAGGACACCTCCTCCACACTGACCAAGGCCTAGGTCCAAAGAACAGGGTTACCTCCTTCTCTTCCAAATACAATCCAGTGCCATGTCACCACGTGACTGTGGCCACTGGATCCCACAACCTAAGATTGGGTCCCAATTCCTCGTGAGGAGGAAACCGGGGCTGGAGCGGGGGAACCCCTTGCAGCCTGTGTTCTCATCTATAAAATGGGGGTGGTAGAGATAAGCTTTTCCCCGCCACAGGGATACCATGCGGACCAAGGGAGATCATTTAATCAGCACAGAGCCTTGCTAGTCCACCATCTAAGCCATCGTAGGCTAGCTATTTAAGCCCGTTTGGTCTCCACTTCTTCGTTTATAAAGTGGGGACAACCTCCAGGCCGGTGTGGCTCAGTGGTTGAGTGTCAACCCCTAGACCGAGAGGTCGCTAGTTCGATTCCCAGTCAGGGCACATGCCCAGGTTGTGGACCAAATCCCCAGTGGGGGGCATGCAGGAGGCGGC